AGAGAGAGAGAGAGAGAATATTAAAGTAAAAGTTAATTTTTATGTTAAAATATATATTTATTTAGATTACTCCTCATGTATTGCTGAACAAAATGAATATGATTTAACTTCAAGAGAATGATTTAGTAAATACTATCTAAAGTAATTTATCAAATTTTCAGTATTTGTTTAAAAATAAAATTTTATTTTCAGAAATATCATTTTAGATGAAGATGAGCCTATTTTCATACATAAATAAAATATTATATTATTCATGATCTTCGAAAAGAATATATTTAATAGAGTTGAGTTCTACATATATTTAAAGTTTTTTTTTGAATATTTTAAAATATTATCTTTTATAATATTTAAAGTATATTAAAAAAATACTTATGGGGGATAATAAAAAAAATTAATCAAGCATAATATCTCGAGATATCACATATTTATATATTTATTTAATGAGATGATGACTGAATTTGGTACAATCACTAATGACATCCTAAATCAACTATTCACTTAATAATTTTAACTATAAAATATTTGTCCCAATCTTCATTAGTAGCATTGGAACAATCTTCTTTATTTACATGATAATTTTTTTCTTAGATGACCTAACTTGTCATACTAAGAACACTTGAACTTCTTTCGATTTATATAATTGTTCGAAAAAGAACTCTCCGTCATTTGACAACTAAGACTTTTGAAAAGCAAACTCTACTAAGGATAATTGTTTTATTTTAGATTGTAGAGCAAGCAACGTTTTATTTTAGACCATAGAGAAGATGGTTTGCAGGTTCGATGAAGTGACATTGACTCGAACAAAGTTGACTTGGGAGACCTGTGATGTGTAAGGGAGTCCATAGATCTCATCACCATCCATCTTTAGATTTATTATTCGACAGTCTGACGGCTTATGGTTTTTTATGACTACCATTGTTCTATTTGCATAGGGTGTGTTAGTCTTTTCGAACTAATAAATATATGTCCTAAAAACTTATATATATGGCCGGCACGGTGCTCACATATCAATGGATTCCTAATAATATGATAAGCATATTCAAGTCAAACAAGATCGAATACTATGCAGATGGAACATATTTAACGCATGCATAAGTAACTCGTGCCGAGGAAATAATGGTTAAGATGTAGCAAAAGGAGTGGTTCTGACATTGCAGAAAAGATGAACAGGAAGAATACTTTTGCGACATGGAATGCCATTATGATGAAGCATCAAAAAAGAAGATTGGCACAGATGAGTGAGTCGAAGTCACCATCGAATCTTTTACAAGTGTTTTATTATGGTTGTTGTTGATTTTGCTGATACTTTGGTGGCCATTATTATTATGTAGGTGGAGGCTTCATTACCAGCTGTTGCAGAGATTGATCTCTTCGATCCTACTCCTGAACTGTTGTTCTTCAAGCCATGACGATGATGATGCAGAGATCGAGTGTTTTAGCTGTTCTCTGCTGCATGTGGACAGTGATGATCCCCGGTGCGTTCTCCCTCTCCTTCAACTTCTCCAGCTTCGACCAGGGCGTGTCATCGAAGCTCGAGTTCCAAGGGGACGCGTCGTTGCAGAACAAGGAGGTCAACCTCACGAGCTACCCCATGCTGTACAGCGTCGGCAGAGCCGTGTACCGGGAGCCGCTGCGCCTCTGGGATGCCGCCACCGGGGAGCTGGCTGATTTCACCACGCAGTTCTCCTTCGTCATCGACTCCTTCGAACCCGCGTCCACGCATGGCGACGGCCTCGCTTTCTTCCTCTCCTCGTATCCGACCTCCATTCCTGCCTACTCCAGAGGCGCCTTCCTCGGCCTCTTCGGCAACAGTTCTCTCGATGGTTCCACCGCCAGCACGGTGGCGGTCGAGTTCGACACCTTTCCGAATGCGTGGGATCCGCCCGCCGACCACGTCGGGATCGATGTCGACTCGATCAACTCGAGCGCCGTGGTGGAGTGGAGCAGCAGCCTCAGGAACGGCCGGCGAGCGAATGTTTGGGTGAGCTACAACGCCAGCACTTACAACCTCAGCGTCTTCCTGACGTATGAAACGAACCCGGCTTTTCGCGCCGGCGATTCCAGCCTTCACTTCGTCGTTGATCTGCGAGATGTGCTGCCGGAGATGGTCGCGATCGGCTTCTCGGCGTCGACGGGCAACGCGACGGAGACGCACAGCCTGCTGTCTTGGTCTTTCGACTCGACCCTGCAACCGAGGAGGAAGAAGAACAAGGTCTGCCTCAAGATCGGTTTGGCCATTGGAGTAGGCGTCTTGATGCTCGTGTCGGGGTTGGTATGGTTCGTGTTCTCCAAGAAGGCCTCCAGTAGGGATCTGAAAGAAATAGACGACATCGAATGCGACGAGGCCATCGACGATGAGTTTGAGAGGGAGAGGGGGCCGCAGAGGTTTCCTTACGAGGAGTTGGCCTCTGCGACGAGGAATTTCTCCAAGGAGGGGAAGCTCGGGGAGGGAGGATTCGGATCGGTCTATAAAGGCTACCTGAAAGATCTGAAACTTGACGTCGCCATTAAAAGGGTCTCTCGGTGCTCGAAACAGGGGAGAAAGGAGTACGTCTCCGAGGTCAAGATCATAAGCCGGCTGCGGCATCGGAACCTGGTGCAGCTGGTGGGTTGGTGCCATGACCGCCGGGAATTCCTGCTCGTCTACGAGTTCATGCCCAATGGAAGCCTCGACTCCTATCTCTACTCCACGAAGAAGAATCTCCAGTGGCCGGAGAGGCACAAGATCGCGCTGGGCTTGGCCGCTGCCCTGCTCTATCTTCACGAGGAGTGGGAGCAGTGCGTCGTGCACCGAGACGTGAAGCCCAGCAACGTCATGCTGGATTCCACGTTCAACGCCAAGCTCGGGGACTTCGGATTAGCTCGGCTCGTTGACCATGACAGCCACTCGCAGACGACGGTTTTGGCCGGCACCATGGGATACTTGGCCCCCGAGTGCATCACCACCGGCAAGGCCAGCAAAGAGTCCGACGTCTACAGCTTCGGCATCGTCGCGCTGGAGATCGCGTGCGGAAGAAGGCCGGTGGAGCCGAAGGAGCAGAAGAGCAAGGTGAGACTGGTCGAATGGGTGTGGGAGCTCTACGGACGGCGATCAATTCTCGAAGCAGCCGACGAGAAGCTACATGGCGACTTCGACGGGAAGCGGATGGAGTGCCTGATGGTGGTGGGGTTGTGGTGTGCTCATCCCGACTGTGGCCTGCGGCCCTCGATCAGACAAGCCATCAATGCACTCAACCTGGAGACGCCACTGCCGATGCTACCCCCAACGATGCCGGTGCCTATGTACTGTGCGCCGCCTGTGGACGTCTCCAGCTTCACCCAGGCTTCATCCATCACGTACTCCTCCTCGTACCTCACGAATTCTTCCAGCTCCACCCAAATGATCGCGGACACAATGAAGTCGCAGAGGATCGACATGTAATGAGCATGAATGCATATGATGCTTACTTAATGCATTTGTTTTCTGGTTTCCTGTTCTCCCCATTCTCCTTGTTTCCCTACTAAGAAGAAGTAAACGCGTCCTGTGGATATATTGCTTGACATGAAACACTTTCTTCTTCTTCAAAACTAGTTTTCTTATAGTTTTCATTGCTCGAATGCCTGTAAAAAATAGAGTTCTAATGTCAAAGCAGTTCCTCACACTCCATATATATACACTGGTGATTGAATCCATATCTGAAACATATTAGGTAAAGATGAGTAGGAGATGGGGAAGAAAGTGTGCAGCACTAATCTATTAAGAAGAAAGTGGCTTTTTGGGTTGAGATGCTTCTTGTTTGGATGGATAAAGAAGGTCGAGAGGGAGCTCATAAATTAGAAGATGTTTAGCTTTTGAGACATGAAGAACATGATTATCCACTTTGTGCAACTTAATGGAGATATAATCTTGCTTAATGGGGCTCTTCAGTAAACTATATAAGAAGATTTTTTTCAAGTGTAGAAAAGATTGCTCCTAACCTTTCAGCATCAGAAGAGCTATTGACATTAACCTTTGCGGTTCATCCACTATGGATGGAGTCCCATCTACAAGCATGGAGGATAAAAGGAGAGGAATCAACGAAAGATGGGGAGCAAACAAGAGAGTGCAAATGATTCCCTCCTCAACTTGCTTCAGTTGGCATAAGGTACAGCTGATCTCATATCTTCTCACCTCATCTCATCTCTTCGTGACCAGCACTAACAAAAGCAAGCATGCATGCATGTGTTCATTCGTCAAACATCCCATTCCCACCTCAGATAGATAGGCTTGACAGCATGAGAATTGATCTGATAAAAGCATTTAGATGACAACAGCAGCTTGTAAGATCAAAACAACTACTAAGCAACAAGTTTGGTTGTCAAAAGATATGATCACATTTGGATTGGATCGAATAGGTAAACAGTTCTTTACAAGCAGTCAAAAGTGAACACGAAGAACATTCCTCCAAGAAAAGTTCCACGTAATACATTTACTTGTACACTTCTTTTATCTGGGAAGTAGTATTACCTTCTCATGCTTGTCATTCCTTCTACAATCCTGTCTAAATGATTGATATGTATTTGCTTTCCTTCGCTTTGTTCAAAAGGAAAGATTGGGGGGGTTAGTGACTGTCACATCTGCTTTTGAAAAGGAAAAGTTGTCCAATCGTTCACACAAGATCAGAGTTCTTCAACATAATCCCCTTTTCCAGGTGAATAATCATCATGTGACAATCACTGTGTCCCACAATGAAGCTTTACGTAAATTTTATGCTTGCTCTGGCAGCTCATGTTAATCTAGTCCTTGACCTAATTTTACTCTCTGCTATTTTAAGCTGATGTTTCTGGTTAATCGAGAGTGTGAAACGAATTTGATCCAAATATAGAGGTCCTCTTTGTACTGTTCTTTGAGGAAAAGGAATGAAGGCGAGAGGCAGCTCACTGCTGCTCTCTCCTTCATCCTTTAGTAAGAACTGGTTTCAAAGTATCCTCACTTGGATTCTCCGCTAAGTCTTATAACAAAGTGTATACCCAAATAGGAGCTAAAGTGAAATCAAATTATTTACATAGTTAAATAAAAAAAAAACCTATATAATTTATTTCAAGTAATCGAGGCGCTATGACGTGAATAACTAATTCAATATTATAAATGTATTGCAAGTGGGTATCCAAAAATACGGATGATTGAGATATCCAACATAGTGGAAATGCGTACCAAAATTGTAGTTTCCATTTTTATTACATAAACAAAAAATAATAATAATACATGGCTACCAAAAGCGGTTCGGACTTGTGGGCTGGATAACGGGTCGGGTCTGCGGACCGGCTGGCGGGAACCGAACGCCACGCGGCGTCGCGGATGGCGTTCCCGCCAACCCCTATTTCCCGCCAATTCTAGGGTTTACCTTTCTTTAACACCCACTCGTTTGATCACTTCCTTCTCCGTCTTCTCAGCCGCCTCTACACGCCGAGATGGATTCCGACGCTCGACCCAGGCCTCCCATCTCCGCTGGGAAGAGGCCCGACCGTCCCTTGGAGTCACCAGCCAAGGGCACCTCGATGGCCGACCAGATCTGGACTCCGGAGAAGCCGGCGCGGCTCCCGCGGCGGTCCGGGAACCGGAGTATCGCGTTCTCAGTGAAGGAGGTGCGGAAGGTCGCGCTGGGGCTTCAGACGGCTGCAGATCGGCCCGATCACTCTCGATCCGGCAATGACGACGATCTCCAGTCGGTCGAGCAGCAGCTCGGAGCCAGCTCGGTGCCCGGTTCCAGTCCTAAGTCGTCCAAGGCTAGAGGTGTCATCAAGCTTCCTGAAAAGTATGTTCTTTAGGTTCTCTTGTAGGTTTATAGAAATATTCATCTGTTTCTTTTCCTTATGTCATCTAATTCTAGCAGTTGAGAATTTCTTGGGCTTTTATCATGGCTACTCCATTGAAGTATATGATTAGTTATGCATATGATGTGCACTAAATTGATTTTTTATGGTTCCTTTCTAACTAGAATAAGCCCCTCTTGATCAGATATGAGATACTGTGTGAATTCTTCAACTGCATGGAGAGTTCAATTCGCTTGCTTCGGCTGAAAGGATCTATGTGCACCTTCGCGAATATCCTCTCCAGCATTCAGCATTTGACAGAAAGGTGCCAATTTTACCCTAAGAGGTTGCATTAACTTGCCTTTCTTCCTCGTATTTGTTTATATGACGAATTGAAATTTATTTTCTGCGTTTAGGAGGTTCACTTATGCGCATCTAGCGCAGTTGAAGTACATAATGCCTGAAGCTATAATCATTAAGAAGGTGATTTTGCATGATGAGGCCACTTGTTGTATGAAGCCAGAGCTTCAGGTCACTCTTCAAGTTGATGCAGTAGCCAAGAACATCAATGGAAAAACTGAGAGTGGGTATTCGATCTTGAGGAAAGTCTTCAGGGAAAGGATTGTTGGCTTCAATAAAGAACATCCAGAGGTACTCGAAATCTCCTCTGGTTACCACTTTTAATCAGTTTAAACATAAATGCTTTCCTTGATATATAGGCATCTCTTATGATTATGGTTGTTTACTAACCAGGTTGCTTTGGAAGTTCTAACTCTTTTAGTCGTCGCATGTTATTTCCTTTTTCCATTAAATGCCCTGTCTTTTGGTTGTTTTTTTTTTCGTTAAATCTAGGTTGTAAGCAGTTTTGATGCATTATTATCAATAGACTGACTGGATTAGATCCATATTAATTGCTAGTTTTGTATTTCAGGGAGATGATGTTCCTGAGGAGCAATTGCCTCATCCTTTCAATCAAACGAAGCCAAGTGTTCTTCCAATTGTCTCTAACGCCAATGCTAAACTGACTTGCACCAAGCCTTCATCAAGTACTACTAGCCATCAACAATTTTCGGTGCCATCTCACTTGTCCCAATCTTTCCAGAGGCGGTTTTCTCGGAAATTCCCCACCCATGGTTCAGAGCAAACCCCTCTTATGACCTTTGGCAAAGCTTGTCCTAAAGATGATCTTTCTGTCCCTCTTGCTTCGTCTCCTAGCAAATGCAATTTGAAACCACCCATATTTAGGAATTCGATGCTTGGTTCTCCCATTTCATTGACCATATCAAGCAAATGTGGCACTAGTGAAGAGGAGACCCAAAAGTTCATAAGAACTGACAACTTTCCTCATAATGAACAAAATGTCAAAGAGGGAACTCCTGCAAAACTAGTTTCCACTCCCTTAAGGTTAATGTCTAATACACCAGATATGGCAACACCAAAAAGATGTAGGACAACCCCAAGCTGTGATTCTCCACTATCGAATAAATCTGTGAAGCGATCAACGCGTACAAAATTGTTTATGACTCCAACAAAGAGTGCAAAAGCAGGGGATGAAGAGTATGAAGATAGGAGTCTGTCTGCCGATGATGATGTCCTCAATATTATACCAGAATCTCTCTTGCAGTCGGTACATCCTTGGACATTCTTGTGCTATGGTTCTTTTCTCTTTAAAGCTTCTAAAGTAGTTTCTTCAAATGTTTTTTGTACACCCATTTCACAGCAATGCACAAAATAGCCATGCTAGATTGGTATTATTCTTGTCTGTACTTCTGAGAATCTCACATTTTATTTATTTCAATGGTTATTGTCTCAATTTTTCTTTCATTTGTTCGTTTAGGTCAGTGTTGACCTCATGCATTTGTCTGCCTAAAAGTGTAGGCATTATGCTACAAGCTAATCACTGCATGCACTTGTTTGGGTTGGCATAATGTTGTTTCAGGTTAATTACTGCTGTTCAATATGACTAACATGCTATGTGAAACATGTTTATTAATAAATTACTCGTCTTGGTTTCATGTTTTAGACAGCTGAACATACTGTATGTTGTTTTTATGACTATTACGGGAAATGCCTACAGTTTGATGAGATATTTCCTGCCATTTCTTAGAAAGATTGTCCTCTTCTATGTGAATTTTCTTCTAACTCTATACATATAAAATATCATTTGGAAAGTAAGTGAAGGTCTAATTGCTCTAGACCTTTTCAGATTAAGGAGAAGGAGAGGAAAACAGCACAGGAGGAGGAGGCTGGTGTTTCCAATGCAATTAGAAGGCAAAAGTTGATAGCCTCATTGCCTTGTATTTTTGACATGATTCTACTCATATTTCAGTCGTGGAAGAGGTCTGTCATGACAAAGAATGAGCTAATTTACAAGCTACTATCAAATAATTGTAAAATAGTCGATAGAGGTATGCACTCTGTCATTAATTTGAAATTGTTGATGTTTCTGGGTCATATTGAATTTTCCAGAGCTAAAATCCTGGGGCTTGTTTCTGCAGGTGAAGTGGAAGAACAGCTGAAACTCTTGTTAGAATTGGTTCCAGATTGGATCTCTGAAAAGATTGCCTACAGTGGTGACATTCTCTGTTGGTAAGCTTTAACAGAAATGAACCTAAATCTGTTCTTGCTAGTTCTGAATTCTGCTTCCTATTATCATAATGCTTAGCATGACTATGGGGACTGCATCGATTGATAGGTCACCCTAGCTTTGTAAACTGTCTCCATAGGGCAGGAGAAAACAATAGTTGGAGAATTACTAGGTTTAAGATTTACTTAACATGATTTATGGGTTCTGTTATGTGCTAAATGGTATCTGATACCTCAGTTTTAGATTGAAATTTGCCTGCCTTGGTTTTCTTTTTTCTATTTGCAAGTTAATAGTACAGTTGATGCGTAACGTGCCTTCTAATGAAGTCATGAAACTCACGTGGAAGCCAACAAGTTTATCGTGAAGTATACATTTGATCCTGCAACTCATCACCTAGGAGAAGATTTTATTGTGAAGTTGACAGTTGAACAACTTCATTACTAATGCATGTGACATTGTGATGCACAATTAAGCCAGTTAGTTCTTTAAAACCTATGCTGATTCAATATAAGCATTTATGTTTTTTGCAGTGTCACTGGGTCATCAAATCCAGAAGAGATTCGACGAAGGTTAGCGGAAGCAGAGTAGGAGAATGCAAGTAGGAAGTTTCAGGTGCATATATAGAAGCTTAAACAACATTATCTAAAGATCTCCCGGGAACGTTTACAATGAAGAAAGATGTCAGTACTACTTGGTGTTAAGTTGGTTCTTGTTAAGCACAGCCAAAATGAAGTGTGTTTTTGAGATATATAAAGAGATCTTCTAGTGCTTTAAAGCACATCATTTGCTAATAGAGAAGATTGATATTGACTTCTCTTTTAGTTCTTGTAATATTGTGTTTTATGCAAATTCATGAAGCAATGATGTCCCTTCCCGTGTATTTCTTGCTCAAGCAGGCTATACACTGATACTGGAAAGGTATAGATTGGTTGCTCAAACTCTTGTAGTGGTAGTATCTGGCCAAACATGCAAGGCTTTTGGCTTGCAAATCCTGTGATGTCACTTGCAGCAATGTTTCACACGACATTCTATGAAGCCTTTGGCTTTAGGCTTGCAAACTATAAACTTCAGGACAAGTTTCAATGAAGCTTTAACATTTATCAATTTGACTCCATTTATCAATCTGACAGAGCTCAACCAGAATGACATGTATATAATTTTTTAGATTTTGTAGGGATATATATTTCAATGAAATAAACACAGGGATATTTGTTTTTCTTCCTCCAAATAAATTACTGAAGTTTTGAATCATGTTGACATATGGAAGATGCAGTAGAGATGTACTAATCTGTGTCCAACATTTGACTTTCTATTAATAAGCCTCATTTTGCACTCTGCTTGAATTTTGGCAGGAAGATAAGAAAATTGTTTTTGCATTTTTCCTGTACAATTCATTCAGTTCTTAATAATTGCTACTAGAAGACTATCCATATTTTAGTTCCTGGGTTATATGGAAGAGGTATCCCAAGAAACTTGGTGTCGAAAGATGCCTCAATATAATGGATGACATACCTCTCAGAGTCATCTCTAAATAAGTCATAGGGCACAACTAGCTATTGTGAATCTTATAACATGAAATGCACATACTATTTTGTTGCTTATAAGTTGTAAGTAATTAATACAAAAAAAAAGAGGAGTGGATTTTGGTACAATGACAAGGCTACTTCCTTACAACATGGTGAACAATGTTCATTTTACTAAAATAAATATACATTGATCCTTCTCATACTTCACAGTCCTGAAGACAGCCCAGACTAACACAAAGTCTCTTGCAATGGCCTCCAGACTACCTCGCAAAAAGATGGAAAAGAATCATCAGACCATGTGAAGCTTCCTCCTCATCATGGTTGAGTACACAGCATCAGGTCTTTCTCTCTTCATTACTCCCACATTTCAAGCATTTCTCTTCCACTCTATTATTGGGACAATCATGTAACTTGTCCAGGCTCCCAATGATTTGCCTGTACATGTGTTCTTTGTGAAGTAACTGCATAGTTTCCGTATGAACTCAGAAAGATTCAACATGGAAGTGAGCAACTGAGAGGAGAATGAGGTGTTCCATTTCACCTTGGATGTGTATAAATGTCTCCATCCAATTCCCCATTCCTGTCTCAGGCTCAAACAGAGTGATTATAGATTGATATCTTTTTGGTTTCAATTAACTGTATGGTTTAGTTTGAGCAGCTTGAGATTAAGAAATTTTTTATGCATCAGCATGTATTCAACTGTGTGATTTAGTTTGAGCAGAGTGAAATTAGCATAGTTTTCATATCATGTCCTTGTGGTGAATGAGAGTATATTTTTTCATATCAGTACAAAAAACTTTTCTATGAATCAGCATGTTTACTCATGAATTACATTTAACTGCAAATTATGATTGCTTAATCCTTTCATTTTGGTTTTTGAAGGTGACAGAAGAATGGAAGCCAGAACTCTATCAATCTTTGCCACTCTATTGATCATATTAGCTGATGCAAGTGCCATACTCGAGGTTGATAGCTTGATGGATCAAGGTGAGTAAAATGTCTCAACACCATGCACCAATTATTCCTCTCTTTTCTTTTCAGTTTTGCTGCTGTTCTTGTCTGGTCTTTACTGGAATATAAAGAAACTTTATGCTGGGATTTCTCGAATCAATTGCCATACTACATAATAACAACAACAATAAGTCATAATATCTTAAGCTGACTACATTTATAGGTTTCTGGGACTATATTAGCTTAAATGATTTTTTTATTTTATTTTTATCGAATCTACATTTTGCTGCTACTTCAAAAGTAGAAGAATGTTAGATTATTAAATGCGAGGAACAAGCTGAGTTTTTTAACCAGATTTGTAGCAATTTTGTTCTAGTCCAATATCATCAAATTAACTTAAACAGATTACATTTCAGGAAACATGGCCTATAACATGAATGGCAAATCAAACCCTTGCAGCTCATGCTTGGAGGCTTCAAGACATGCTCAGAAATCTCTGGATGACCTAATCTTGTTCAGTGACATCAGATCACTCTCATCTGAAGCTTGCCATATTTTGCCTTCTCAACTTAAGAATCAGGTATTTATTGTTGTCTCTCTTGTATTTCGATAATCTCATGCTGAATTTTGTACATTTTTCTTGTGTCAGTGTTTGGACAAGTCACAAGCATATATAGATCAGGCTCAGTTCTTTCTCCAACACCTCTTCCATGAAGGTAGTCTTTGCAACAACACAGGATTATGCCTTGATGAATCCTTTTACCCAGATGACAATATTCTTACTTCACTGATCAATGAATCTACCGAGGTATGTAAGCAAAAAAAGACTCTTAATCTTTGCTAAATAACAATAAGGATTACATATAATAGCCATTGGCATCAATTTTTCTATCATCAAAGTTCGATTAAGTTTATCCTTTAACCGAACTTTGAAAAGCTAATTTCTATGTGCATGAGATGACAGACTGGGGAGACCACCTGCTATGAATGCAGTAGAGCCATCAGGAACATCATCGAAGGCACACAATCGAGTAAAGTGAGGGTAATGAAATCGAGAACAGATGAAACTTATGAGATAAAAAAATGAAAAGCTTTATCTTTCTTGCATCTCTCGGTTAATTATGTATGGATCATTCTTTTTTGCACTTCTCTTCAGAAAAAGATGAGGCAATTGCTGGTTGAGCAGTGCGAAGAACATCATAGGCAGAGTGAAAAGCAGGTGAACAGCTTGTGATAGTACACGCAATTGGTCTTTGTTAGAGTTGATGATCCTAAACTAAACTATATTGATGTTTTTCTTCCTTCACAGTGCAAGGTAACAGTGGCCAAATATGGTTCAAGGATGATGTCAAAGCTTGCGGAGATGGAAGCCAATGATTTGTGCCACATGATGAGTCTCTGTTGAGGGGATCTCTTTGCAGAGAAGCTTGAACTAGCTTAAGAACAAGCACAAGCACTTCCTTGGATACTTTCAGAATAACTGCAGGAATCAGATACTCCTTGCAGGATTTGAATAAAATGCATTCTACTATTTTGAATGATGTGATCATGCACACTGTTTTTGGGGCATTTGAGGATTGTCTCATATTGAATAAATTTCCTCTTTGGAAATAATGAATTAATTAACTTACCATTCACAAGTGTGTGTGAATTTTTACAATGAAAATAAACTCTTTCCAAGCTTTTTATTATATACATAGGTGATTTTGATAGAAAATACTTATATTTTAGATATTTTTAAATAATACCATTCTAGGTTTTTAAAATAATATCACTAATTCAAAACATACTTAAAATATCTCTCCTCATCTATTGCATCTCTTTTATCATTATCGTCACCTATTTTGTACGCCATTCATTTATCGTCGTCACCCATTGTTCATATCATGAGGCTTTGTCGTCGGTAGAGAGAGAAGGAGGGGGGGAAGACAATTTATTTATTTATTTTTTCTTGAATGGTATCTCATTTTCAAAATTTCTAAACCATCATCTCCTGTTTCAAATATTCCAAAAATACCTCTTAAAAACCTATCATTTTTACTGATCCAAATCTAATTTTTTTTTGCAACTTTATAGCATTTTGTAGGTTGATTTTTAACCACAAAAATACTATATAATGCTTTAAAAACATTATACATTTTTTTTGAAACAAAAAATATTATATAATATATATATATTTTTAAAAAATATAATATGTAGATAGAATACAACCCACAAAATATTGTAAATAGATGATAGAAAAAAACCTCTTTGATTTGGGCAGGAGAACACTGTAAATAATTTTTTTGGGAGGTATTTTTGATACTTTTGAAATTGGAAGTAATGGTTTGAAAATTTTGAAAAGGATATCATACGAGAAAAATAAAAAAAATCTTTTTCCGACAATCGCCTATATATATATATATATAATATTATATTATACTTTACTTAGGGGGGTATAATAGTCAATGTACTCGCTCGAGCCTCTTCTTCCAACTCGACAACTCTAATCGCCCATATAGAGGGAGGAGGGGTTACAATTCAATGAAGTACTCGCTCGAAACAGTGATAGTCTTTACGTAGTTCTTAGTTGGCATCGGAGCCTCTTTCCTCTTCCCAATTGGACCACCCATGCGTTCACTTGGCCCCGCCTCCTTCACCAACAGTCTCCTGCCACGTCATCAAAGCGGGCCGTTGCGGACAGCCGAGCTGGGCCCCCCGCAACAGGTCCCGTCGTCACAGGCCAGCGACGTGCGTCGGACTCGCGTGCCTTCTACTCCCAGCGGACACCAAAACCACCACCACCAACCTCAGCTAAAGCAGACGCCGCTGCCAGCATCGAACGGGCACCCCCAAAACCCTCCCTCTTCGACCCGCCCTCTCTCCCGTCTCAGATCTCAGTCCAAGGAGGGTACCGCCCCCCACTCCCCCCTTCCACTTTCTCATTCGCCCTTTCGGTGTCGAAGCCCTAACGTACGTTCATCCTGCCGCCTCCGATCCGCAGATCTCCACCGCCCCCGCCGCCTCCCTCAACGCCCCTCAGGTACGCACCTCGTTCATGGTAAGCTGGGAAGTTCTGTCGTGCACATCGTCGATGGAGTCTGCTGACGCTTGCCACACATTCTTCTACATTGAAGTACAATTAGACCGAGATTTGGTCAATTTCACGTGCTCTTCTTCTATGGAATGTGGGGAGCTTTAAGATGACGAGCAAGTGCTTGAGTTCTTCGCTTAATTGTCTTTGTAGGATCGACGATATGGCGAAGCAGAGACAACTTTTTTCCACTCACGACGCGTCTCCAAGATCCTTCAAAAGTAGGGAGTGGGATAGCATGTCTAGATGGTCAGAGTACATTAGTCTCGAAGAATTCCCTTCTTCGACACCTATGAACGGGAGAAGTTTAGGTTCCGATGCGCCACCCAACTCTGGAACTGTCCCAAAGGTTCTACACATGGAATGGGTGGTCCAACTTTCGAAGGTTGCAGAAGGTTTATTAGCTAAAATGCATAGACTAAACCATATCTTGGACAAACCAGATCTGGGGTCACACACATTTTCCGATGCTTTTTGGAAAGCTGGAATATTTCCCAATTTTCCAAGAATCTGCATGCTTGTGTCAAAGAAGTTCCCTGAACATCCTAACAAATTACAGCTAGAACGAGTAAGCCTTTGCTGGTCACACTTTCTAACAAGGCCCTTCGTCCTTTTTTTTTAGTTGGGTACCTTTTAACATCTGTTTCATGTTGCAGGTTGATAAACTTGCAATGGATACTCTGACTGAAAATGCACAAGATTATTTTCAGAAGCTAGAACCTTGGGTCATGGTATTTGGTGAAACTTTTACATTTTGTGAAATTTTTACATTGTGCTCATTCTGTGGGAAAATTTTCTCCAAATGTTTCTCAATTTTGCTTAACCTAAATATGCTTGAGAAATTTTATAACTTGCATAATATGCATTCCCTCCTTTGCTTTATCAAATAATACAAATAAAATAACTCCATGATATCAAATTGTAGTCTCTTGTAATTGCTTTATTTTACTTTGACCCAAAAAAATCTAGCTTTTCCTCTAAACCACATGAAAGGTGGTCAGCTTGGTTCATCATATCATATGTTTTAGTGCACGATACCAGGTGTTTTGCTGATTTTCAAGATATCTATCATGTTGGTGAAACTGCTGATTCCATCAGGGGGATTGATGATTCATGTAATTTAGGGTATTGAGGCTTAAATTTAACTGAGACCAAACAATGTGAACCGAGCATTATAATACATGAAACAAGTTTTAAATCAGTGGTTTCTAGTGGTTTAATTTAACTGGACTGAGCTTTAGCTAATTGAGGTCAGTTGGTTCAGTTCAACTTTGATCTATAACCCGATTAAGATACTTGGATATTACAGCCCCATTCAATATCTGTGTCATGGCTCATTGCTAGCTCATCTTCACCATATGTTTGAGAATGCTCGATTGGAAGCCAGTGGAGAGATGCAGTTTATGGGCTGTTGAAAAAGAGGAGAGTAGAATTTGCAGGGTTTTGATTTCTATTTCCTTTTTTGTGCAGTTATTCTTTGGTGCTTATGAAACCAATTTTGTTGGCATGTTTTCTCATTTTGGCTATCAGCGAAAGCCCTCCTTCCTGCCTGAATTTTAACTTTGTCTTAGTTTTTTTGTTTTTGTTTATAAGATTTGAATGACAGTAACAACCTCCTTATTTGTAGGGGAAAGGTTGTGTAGTTGACCTTCCCTAGATCCCACATTGTGGGAGCCTCATGCATTGGGTTGACCTTCATTTCTTATGGTTGTTGGTCAGCATGGGTCTTGTTTAGATCCATGCTGATCAGCATACATGGTGTTGGCACATTATATAATGCCATGAAATTTAAATTGTTGTTTCTTAATAGGGACAGAAAAATAGACTTGTTAACTTATGCTATAAACAAACTTCACCATTTCTTACTAGACACGGTAATACAAACAACATCATTTTGTTTACTTGTACTACAAAAAGACAGGTGCCAAGTAAACCATGTACTTGAGATTTTAAATATGAAGTGTGCTGATAACATTCTTTTATTTCTTTCTTCTCCTTAGCTGCTTCTTGACCTGATGGCATTTCGGGAACAAGCTCTGCGTGTTATTTTGGATTTGAGCAGTACAGTTATCACATTGTTGGTATGAATTTGTCTGCCCTTGATTAATTACTTGTTGTCACTGTACATGAATTACTAGTGGTTTGCCATATATCACTGTTAATTTTTTTTCTAATATGTATTCTTGTTCTTACGGCAGCCCCATCAGAACTCTCTGATTTTGCATGCATTTATGGATCTCTTTTGTTCATTTGTCCGTGTAAATCTTTTCTCTGATAAGGTATCTTGTTCCCCTGTTATTATTGTTTTCTTTCACATCATTGTTTTTGGTTTCATCAACTTTGCATCATTATAATATGCTACTGTTTGAGCTACTTTTTTTTGTCTGTCTACTTTCTCATGTAAAGTAAATTTTTTTTCAGATACCTAGAAAAATGATGCTCCAGCTGTACAACATGTTGCACACGATATTAAAAGGTGGTCGTGATTGTGAATTCTACCATCGGTAAGATACTTGGAACTTTTCCAAAGAGGACAAATAGTAAAAAAACTAACATTTCATATAACTTGCTGTTCAAGGATTTGTTGACTTTGGTATGCCATTATTTTGATATTTCTTTTACTATTTCTGATAATATGTAGCAATCTTCATTATGCTACACCATGTTGTAGTGTTGTACCGTAATCAAAGATAGTTGCATGTTCTTAGGTTCCTCACATGTTTATCTTATGAAAACATATTAAACCTTCACTTTTGATGGAGAAACCAATGAACCTATGATCTATGGAAGCATTTGGATGAATTTATGATCTTTGCAAAAAGGCACCTATGAGTTTGGTAGCTATTGCATGGGGCCTTCCATGAAGTACTTGATCATCTTTACTTCTTTGTTGGATATACTAGATTGTCATTGTCTGTAGGGAAGTTTAATGATGCACTTGGTGAAAATTAGAGAATTTGTGTATGCCGAGACTTGCCTTTTCTTGGTTCACTTCTGTATGTTTGCAACATTTTTGTGTTATCTTAGTTTCTTTCTTGTTCAAGTTTATCTATAAATAAATGCCTATCAAATTCTGGTGTTGTATTTATATTAGTGTCATGTTCTGCTAAAGCTACAGCAGAGATAAAATGATGGTACATGCATGATGGACCTTGGAAAAAGGAGTTCTTTGAGACAAGTGGCAGAAGTAACAAAAAAACAGCAGTTTGGTAGAAGTATTATATGTTCTGACATATTTTTTACATCTTGGAATTGCCCAAAGAAATGCGGGCTATTCTTGTCTTGTTGAGTAAGGAGATTTATGTAAGGACATATGAATTTGCAATCAAGGAACTTCTTCTCAATTGTTTGAAGTTTTAACATGTGGCAACAATAAAATGTGCACTAATGATGAATAATTGCCATGATAAATCTTTCTGATTTTGTATATTTTAACTTATTCAAGTGTAGTGCTTCATGATATTTCTTTGTTATCAGCTTTTCGTTTTGGTACAAAATATTTCTATGTCGGATCAGCTATGTGATCTCCATTCATTTTTCTGGCTTTGACAGATTGGTTCAGTTTGTGGACTCTTACGATCCACCAGCGAAAGGATTGCAAGAAGACCTAAATTTTGTCAGCCCCCGTATTGGAGAAGTCATAGTCTTGACCCTTGGCTATCGTAATTTGTTCTCTGGAAGAACCATTTGTACATTAACTAGAGCTTCTTTTAAATTATCCATATTCTTTTTCAATTGAATGTTTTTGGCCTATGCAATCTTTGGCTGTCTAAAATTTTGCTTTCAATTTAATTCAGACATTGCTTTCTAGTTGTTTCTTGAGAAGACAGAGGAAGTAAACTTTAAATACCAACTTTATACCAATGCCCTTTCTATTGGTAGTGTACTTAGTACTGTTCAGTACTTAAATTGTACTTTGGTCAACAAAAAAAAAAATCTGAAGTATCAGCCTGGTAAGTGCACTGCATACTGTTAAGTAGTGGGCGGATATAGTATGTCTTAGGGTTTGCAATACCGTACCATACTGCCGGTACGAACGGTATGCACTAGTCCGCCAGCAGCTACTGGGCGGTATCAGGCATCTGACCCCGTATCGGGCGATATGGGACTGTACCGAGCGGTAACGGTCGAAATTTTGATCGCTACCGCCCTGTATTGGTTGGTATCGATCGATTTCGTTCGTTACTGAATGGTAATGGTGCTTCAATTTGACCATTGGAGGCCTCCTCAAGGGTTTTAAAACCCTTTCTTTCACTCCTATTTCAATCAATTTCACTCTCACACTCTCTTAAACTTTTTCAAACTCATTTTTTCTCACATTCTCTCTCTTATTCTCGCATTTTCACTCTCCTAAACTCAACAAAGCAACGATTTATGGATTGAATCAAATTTAGAAGGTTAATTTGGGTGAATTAAGAGGAAGAACGATCTGGAATGGATCGAAATGGCGAACCTTGCACAAGGCTACTCCTCAAAGCTTGAAAAATATATGTGACACTATTTTTACTTAATTTACATTAGTTTATTAAAACTATACTAAATGTATATTTATTTCTTACTTAAAAACCCTATTCTAACGTTCTTTTTTTTTTATAGATATTTTCGAAGGGTTTTATGCCTATTTTAGGCGTACCACTCGGTACATCGTACCATATCATACCGAGCAAAGCTCGGTACATCGATACGGTACGAGATTAAGAACCTTATATCTGTTATATTATGATAGAGAGTGGTTTGTGCCATATTTATCTATTTACCAACTTTATTGTACTCGTCCCCTACCCTACCATACCTTGCTAGTATTGGCACAACAACAACTTGGTCTATTGTATAATAGCATACTTGAAAAGTATGGATTGGCTTACACAATTCTATAAGAACTAGCTTAATTATACATGTGTCCAAAATGAGGTCAAGTAGTGTCCAAGAACTGGCTTGCCTTGACATGAAAGACAAATGCTAATTTTTGACAGTAAATAATTGTATTTTTGGCTTTTTTCGGTCTCTTCTTCATTCTCTCTTACATTTTTTTGATTAGATAAGGTTATATAGGTTCCTTTCATGTCTTCTGCCTCTACAAAAGAAAAGAAGAACATGCTAATTTAATATATATGTCTTTGGTCGGTGAAAGTCTTGGAACCCTTGTTTTGCACCTATATCTTGCACTATTTTGAGTTCAGGGGATAGGATCGAATATTCATTTTTGGCCTCACTAGCATGATTGGGTTGGGATGCTTTATGCCTAAATTGATGTTTTACCTTTTTCTTATTGAATGGCTCAATGGACAAAAAAATAAAGAAAATAATTTATTTTGTGAATTACCATCCTGAATCCTAACTAACTATTTATTATGATAGTATTTCTTTTATGCATTCCATGCATCTGTCTGTATTTTATCACTTCATGTGCAAAAGCCTCATTCTTGCTGAATTTTATATTCTAAAACTTGCCTTTGCTTGCTCTGTGTCGTCTCATACAACATGTATCTCCACACATATTCTTCACTATGGATCTCGTGTCATCCATTATGTGAATGGCATGAAATCTATCACTGTTGGGCCAATACTTTTATCCTTATTCAAGGCTTCTCTCTCAAATGTTGTTATATTGGTGTTGTATAATTTTAGCTAATAAATATAGTTATTGTTGATGCTGGCAAGTATTAGATGGATGAGGGGACTCAATATTTTACATACCAATAGGAAAAAAATGATTTGCAAGTTTCTAAATAATTCATATGAAATTTTTATAGTTCTCAGGCAATGCCTGCAATTCATATATGATACCGTAATTAGGTTTACCTTTGACAAGTTACTGATGGATCAGAGATGATAGGCACAGAATGTTTGATAACCCTAGAATTTTATGGTTTTTTTTTTTCATGTCAAATCCACTTGCATGAACTGATCTGAAGGAGTGGAGTTTAGGTTGCCATCATAGCAAACTGAAATTTATTGGTCTAGATATGTGTAGAGGATCTTTGTGAACTTTCGCTTCCCCATTAATAATATGGCAATTGTCACAGATGATAGTATGGCATGAGAACATGTGTATTAAATTTACATTGATACTTGCCTGTCTAAGTAGTCTGTTTAATTGTTAATTTCTCAAGAAAACTTTTGAACCTGAAATTTGTCATAAATTCGCATCTTGCAGGTTTTGGAGGCTGTGGGTCCCATTATATTTCTTTCTACTGATACCAAAAAAATGAGAAATGAGGGATTTCTAAGTCCCTTTCACCCTCGTTATCCTGACATACTAACCAATTCTGCTCACCCGATGGTTAGTGTATTTCTCAATAACAAAATTGAGATATTCTCTTGCTAGGGTTATTTTACTTTCACTATGAGGTAATTTAGTTAATACAACTTTATTCTTCTCTTCCTGTCTTTCAGAGAGCTCAAGACTTGGCAAATGTTACTTCATACAGAGAATGGGTCTTGTTTGGTTATCTCGTCTGTCCTGATGAACTTCTTCGTGTTACTAGCATTGACATTGCTATGGTATATGTCTTGTTTTTTTTTTTTTTTTGATTAATGGAAATAGAAGTGGGATTGTTATTCCATACGAATGCTTAAAACTTTTTCTTTGTGTGTGGCAATGAAGATCTTTATGATATTGAACTTGTAGCACTTTAACATTTCAATTGCTAGCTTATAAGTTCTTGCTGGCAGCACTGTAGTTGAAATCGTTGTTAAAAAGCCAGCATTGATATTGCTTAAGTCAAATAAATTAATTTCTCTAGAAAGTCATCTTATATGAGCTCTATAATTGCTCGAGAATTTGTTGTCATTTCATATATAACTTTTTTTTAGTATTCTTTTCCTTGCTAGTTCTGATGTTAGGCAATGTGACTGGATCATTCTTTTTATATATGTTATACAAAATATTTGTATTATATCTTTTTTTCATAAAGATAGGATTATGTTTTCCTCTCTTCGTCATCAATTTTATTCTTTATTAGTGTTTCCAACTTCCACTGTCTTTTCTTTTCCCAACTAAATACCTTAGTTATCAGCCATTTTTGTTTCAGGTTGTATTGAAGGAGCATTTAGTTCTTACATTGTTTAGAGATGAGGTAACTAAATATGGTTTGTATGATAGTTATGTTTTATTTTCCTATTTAACGATCATATCTGAACCCTGGTCATACAGTATGAACTATTACATGAAGATTATCAGTGTTATGTTCTGCCAAGGATTTTAGAATCCAAGAAATTGGCCAAATCTGGACGCGCAAAACAAAAGGAGGCAGATCTGGAGTATAATGTTGCAAAGCAAGTTGAGAAGATGATAAGGTTTGTGCGTTAGATATACTGCATTTTCTTACTCTATATGTATACCCTAAAAACTTATCCTATATTCCTTCTAATTCTCATTTTACTCATTGAGATCTAAGTATGTACAAATTTTGAAGTCCTAAAATTCTTGTTGGTGCCTTTCATTTCACTATAAACCAGGGTTTGCCGTACCGAGCTGTACCGCCCGGTATGGGCGGTACGTACCGGTCCGACAGGTTTTCGGTACGCGGACTGACTGTTACCGTTCCGAGGTGCTGTAGCACTGTAGCAGTGCTACAGTACTCGGTACACCTGGGTGTACCGCTCGGTATACCGTACCATACCGGTACCGAGCCCAGGTCGAAATACCGGTATGGTACGGTATTGCGAATCTTGCTATAAACAATTGCCAAATCAATGTTCAAAAGTGTCATTTAATTTTTTTGTTGCAGCTCACTCAATTTTATTATTGATGTTTCTGGAAAATGGCAATTTTACACTGGTAATGAGTGTTAACTTACTAGGCATATTTTAAACAAACTGATGTCGTGCATTTTCTTTCTGATGATATTGTTTTGATTGACAAGAATCTTGTTGGAAGTAATTCTACATGAGGTATGAAGACAAACTTTAAAACTAAGGTGTGTAGATTAATCAGGAACAAGATCGCATATGTGAAGTGCAACTTCAGCTGTAATAAGAAAAGAATCAAATGTTAAAATAGATAAGCTAGAAGTTTCCAGATGGTGACATGAGAAGAATCAATTATGTGCTTAAAATTGATTAGCAAGAAGTTTTCAGAAGTAAAAAATTTTACATAACTTAATGGGTTTGGTGTTGGAGTAGGTATGTACAGATTTGGCTTGAGCAGAGTATGAAACTATGCTGGACTATATTGACAAGATATATATGGTGGTTGGTTTTGATTTAGTATGCCACTTGGTACATCACATTCCACATCTTGGTAATTTATCAGAGCAGCATGTAATGTTTGCATTGAGCAGTATGGACCAGTATGATATATATGAGAGATGATATCTGAAGGTGAAAGTTATGTAGCAAAAGCATCATTACATAACAGGCATGGGGTATCTGGTGTATAATTCTGCAATCAATGATCGAATTATCGGCTCGTATTCTACCGATTATGTGGTTGACGTGCCAGGGGAGCTACTCTCTATCGAAGCCTAAAGATATTAAATGGATCATGAATATGAGATTATTCTTGAATAGGGAATCTCATTGAGATACATGAAGTTTTTTTCAGCTTGTTGGTATGCTCATTTTTTCGACGACTAGGATTAAATTTCTTTCATCATATCTTGCAAACCCTGTATGGTTGAGATTTTACAGCTTGTTGCTGTCAGTATATCTTATTAGATCACCAATAGACCTAGACCATCGCATTGCTTTCTTTGCCATTTCTTATTAAGATATCTGCTGGTGTTGATTGTTTGCCACCAGTTGCTGTTAATTGTTAGTTTATTCTCTGGTCATTATTTGCTACCTTAGGCACTACAAAGAATCAGACAATACAAGATGACTGATCTAGCTGATGTAGCAATTGAACTATTCTGGTTGAAGAATTTTCAGTCAGAAATAAATATCATGTAAACTAGCCATGGAAGTTTTTGATTAGTTGAATTAACTTGCAAGTTGAGCTGGCGTGTTATATAAGGAAGAAGTATACTGAAGTTCAAAGTTTCTTTAAATAAAAGATTAAAAAAGAATCAGGCTCACAATCCTGTTGCCAACTATCAAAATAGAGCAATCAAGTCAACTAAATACTCAACGATAAGCATTGTAAATTTCTTTCTCAGCTTGAACATATTAACTACATGATATTGTTATTTTGGTGTTTTATAGGTTGATATTGCTTGACAAGACCATGACAAGTTTAAACTCAATTCACATGGTTGTGGAAGGCTTTGAGGATCAAGGCCTGCTTAATAGTGTAACCAAATTGTAGATTATTATTTCACTAGAATTTCAAGGTTTTTTTTGCTTGTAGTCTCCTTGAGAATTAAATATTTGAAAAATTACCCAATAAATTTCATGCTTGAAGTGTTTGATTTCTGTGTATGTGTCCTCTTCCAAGGGGAGTCTCTTTTTTACTTTATTTAAGGGAACACATATACTTGTTATTTTTGTGGCATCTAAAGCATTGCTCGTGCCAAATGAGATGACCATGCCAATGGATAATGTGTAGATGCCATGCATTTTTTTACAGTTCTGGTTTACTGAGATGTCTCAATTTTTCTGAAGTTTCTCGTTTAATGTGAATGATGTAATGCGACATGCTTCAAGGTGAACTTTGTGGACTTCCAAATTTGTCTCATCACTTGATTGAGCATGCTTGGCAAAACAATTCCACTATTTTGCAATTTTATGGGCAATTATGTAGAATGTATTGTGCATCTTTTCCGGCAATGTCCATGGTGGCAGCTTAGGGAATGTTTATAATGGGGAATTGATTAACAGCTCTGTAGGTTCTAGTTTGGAACCTTGAAGAAGGTGAGTGTGGTTTATGATTGTACATTGTGTGCTGATCTTGTCCTATTCAGCATGTGGCATGTTTAGTACTAGGTATCACCTCCCAAACATGTGCTGTCATGCTCTAGCTCCAAGACATGTAGAGAAGACCACTTCGTCCAAAAAAATACTGCAACTTTGAGGAAGCATCCCTAGTATAACTTATTATTGGAGAGCTTCTTAGCTCTTGATTGTCTCTTTCATACTGTGAGCATTATTGCCATATGCATGACAGTCCAATCTCTGACAAGAATTAAATCTTGGTCCCATATTGATATTGGTTGGCATCAGACGAGTATCTCTTGCACACGGCTGTCATTGTTTTTAAAATATTGAGTACTGAGCGGTGGACTTACTGTCCTTATCAGGTGTCACAGCTCATACTGGACTGAACTGGGTGAAATCACCGGTCTGCATCTGAGGTGGTTGTGGCCTTGTGGGACCAATAAACAATAAACCAACTTCATGTCAGGCATGGTACACGACTACATGTTGCCATAAACAGAACCTCGAGAACAGTTTGGTGTAGTGTGTCAACCAATGGTGGCATCTAAATGAATGAATCTTGAATATTTGTTCTCTGCCTGCAGTTAATGAAGTTAAGAAAATATTGAGTTCATAAGTAACCAGAGTTCATAATTTCTGTAGTCAATTTCTAGAGCTTGCATCATTTAATTCCAGTAACTGACAAGTTTTTGTTGTATGAGTAGCTTAGTGTGAACTGACATTAAGATGTGCACAATCTTAAGTGCACCAGTTGAACTGCCTTAAACAAAGATATCAACAAGATTTAGATAAATTCCAAGTAGTTGTTACTCTGATCTGCTGTATGCATATGCTATGAGATCTGAAGTTTCTTCCAGTAGTTCCTTCGTTCTATTGAGTAATGTACATATGAAATCATGCCTCTAGCAGCCAATGAAGCCTCTTACATTTATGTGAAACTGTTAGATGATCTGAGACCATGTGGACTTTTCTTCTTCTTATCTTTCATGCTCCACTGGAGCTGCTTTCTAGTCACAGGATATGGCATGTATTCTTTTCTGTTTCCAAGAAGATGTTTAATTTTGTAGTCTATGTTCATTTTTAGCATATAAATTGATAGCATTTATTGGTAAATGATTCCATGTTTCTAGTGAAGTACATGAACAAGCACTCACATCGTGTAATGCCATACACCGAGAACGGAGAATTCTACTGAAACAGGAGATTGGAAGAATGGTTCTTTTTTTCTCTGATCAACCAAGTTTGTTAGCCCCTAATATTCAGGTAACTTTTATCATGTGCTAAGGTACATATCATATCATTCTCTCTATCTCTTTATTCATTAGGCTTTGTGTCTGTGTGACTTGAATAGGATTGATCAATCTATTTTGTTTAGATAAAAAATGGGTCAATGAAGATTTTGATGTCATTAAAAGTAATTGCAGCAACACGCATGCTTTCATTTCTTGAGGTTACTCTTTTTTTTCCCAATTGATTTTTGTAACTTCAAAACTGCTCACAACCACAAGTGTTTCTCATTCTTTTATTTGTTACTAACTTCAAAATAGATCAGAATCAAATGTGCACTCTCAATTCTTGTGGTTCCACAAACTTCTACTCGAGGATTGCTGTTTTGGGTATCTGACCCGTTTCGGTGATCTATTGGACCACCTTGTGTTGGTATGCCGGTATATACCGATGTTTTGGAGAGGAAGAAAAGAGGGAGAAGAGGACGTGGTGGTGGAGGAACAGAGGAGAAGGAAGAAGGAAGAAGAGGAATAAGAAGAATAAATGGTGAACGAGAAGGAAGGAGGAAGAAGAGGGCAGAGGTGGGAGCTTACTTGGGAAGAAGCAATAACGTGATAACAATGATGTTGGCAGCGATAGTGGCAACGACAAAGCAGAAGCGGTGACAACGAAGCCTTGAATGCGAGAAGATGGCTCATGTTTGATTGCCCTAATTTCCATTTTATTTTTTTAATGCTGAGTTGGATGGGCCCCACTGCTATTTTGGTTTTTATTATTTTTATAGATGTGGACCGGGCCACCCGAAATGGGGTGGTTTGCTTACCGGCCCATGTCCGGACCAGTATGTATCGTCCATTTCATACCATTTTGGGTGGTACAACAATCATTACTTCTACTTCATATTGATACTTATTTTAAATTCTGGTCGCAGCTACAGGCACACCTAGTTTTTGGCATTGCTTAACTTTTGATTCATTCCTCTTGGTGTTCCTAACTTCAAGATAGACTGTAGAAGTGTAGAGTCAAATATGCTTTCCCAATCTTTGTAGTTGTTCATTAGTTTATTCTTTTTGAACTTTACGACTAGTTGTACCATGCATGCTCTTTCAATTTTATAAGTTTTCAAAGATATCTTACCATAAATTTATTTCTTCAGTGGTAGCACAAACACCACAAATTATAGTTTATTCATTTAATGGTGGCCATAGGCACATAAAATATACTTAATGTGTTTCATAGCAGCCATATGCAGCAGAGAAAAAATAAGTTAGGCACATTATTTCTTTTACCGCGGAAGATACTTGGATTTGAAGATTTAGTTAAATGACACCATTCCTTCTCATTATTGCACACACTGCATGCACCATTCATTTTCATGTCTGTTTGCATCGAATCTCTTTGGATTTTTTCTATTTGAGGGGTTTTTCTGATTGAACGTGATCAATTTTATGTGATGGACAGATGGTCTTCTCTGCTCTTGCTTTAGCTCAGTCTGAGGTAATTTGGTACTTCCAGCATGTTGGAATTCCATCCTCAAAGTTCAAATCAGTACGGGCAATACCAATTGAGATTGTAAGTTTATATAGTTCAGGTCTTCTGCATATGAATTATCAATCTACCATCTTTTTTTTTTCCTTCTTTTATTCTTTGATCATGGTGAATTATTTTCTTTTACTGATTGCAGGATGCAGCAGATCCAACTATTGGTTTCCTGCTAGATGGAATGGACAAGCTTTGCCATTTGGTTCGCAAGTATATGGCTGGTCAGTTGTTGACAACATTTAGACTGCTGTACTTACACGAATCAAGAAAAGAGGAAATATTTTTTGTTGGGATAATTGTTTAGTGTTTGTTACCTGTGTGTAATAAATTGAATATGCATTTCTTCCAACATCTAAATCCAATCTTACATGTTTATCTGCAGCGATAAAAGGTTATGCATTATCATATTTATCATCTTCTGCTGGAAGAATCCGGTTTTTACTTGGCACTCCTGGTATGGTGGCACTTGACATAGATTCCACATTGAAGAACCTCTTTCAGCAAGTTGTTCATTGCCTTGAAAATATACCAAAGCCTCAAGGAGAAACAGTCTCATCCATTACGTGTGATTTATCTGTAAGAATTATACACATATATTCTTGTTCCCTACATGTATTTCTTGGTTTACAAGTTGATGAAAGCCTACCTTTTGTATTTTAGTAGTTAAGAAACTGTATAGTACACTTTGCATATTTCCTGCACAATCTTACAAGAGCTTCTGCTGGATCTGAAGGATGGTTTATATAGGAACCATTTATATGGCTCAAATTTTGGAAAAAATATTCTTAAAAGGCTATCAGGGATTTGTTAGTGAGTGTGGTAGTATATGAATATGTTAGTTACATGTTTAAACAGTTATTATTTTAACTATTTGTGCCTCATTAGCTGTTTGGATTATGCTTTGAAGCTTTCTTTCTGCCATTTGCTTAGCCTTTCTATTTTTTCTCAAGTATGTTTTCCCTAACCATTAATGATTTCTTGGTTATGACACACTATGCCATTTTGGCTAGGTAAATTATAGTTATAATTTATAAATCTCTCCAAATATAGAACACCTAGGAATTTTTGGTTATGACATGCTATACCATTTTGGCTAGGTAAATAACAGCTAATAAATATATCCAATTACAGAAATTCTCAATATCTAGAAATTCAGAATAGAGAGCAGTTTTTTGTTTATCTAATGAAGGCTTGTAGAAAGTTGATGCATGCATTAAAATGAAATAGTTGAATTTTGAAGTATGTTAAACTAGACAAACATGCAATCAGAATTTTCAAGCCCATGTAGATCTTGGAAAGAGTTTTTCCTGTTTGACAATAAAATCATTTAATGATATTGTTTTTCTCTGAGACAGTTGCTCTGTCTTGCTTGTGATTGCAGCAATCTTCATGACATCATGCTATGCGATTTAAACTCAATTTAGTGGTGCTACTAGTTGAGGGTAGAAATATTAGTTACCTAAACATTATTCTAATCTGAGTTTAAGAAGCTTGCTACAATGTGTATCATGTGGATACCATTAACATGATGATATGCAATCAAAAGATAAAAAAAAAACACGGCATATGCAGTGCATGAGGCTCCTGCCAATATAGAGTCTAGGGAGGGTCAATGTATGCAGTCTTTACCTTTAAATATTTAAAAAGACAGTTTTCGTGATTCAAGCCCTGGTCTCTCTAGTCGCAAAGGAACAACTTTATCCCCCCTTTAACACTGTATCTAGTGTGTATTAATGTTCATTTATATAAATTCATGTTTTGTTAAAAATATATACATTTTAGTGATATCAACAAAAGGTTATCCATGGTGTGATATATTTTCTAGTTATTCATTAACTACATTACTTAATATGGTCGCAGGATTTGCGCAAGTACTGGTTATCAATTTTGATGATAGTTACATCTTCACGATCATCTATAAACATTAGACACCTGGAGAAGGCCACAGTATCCACGGGGAAGGAAGGGTTATTATCAGAAGGAAATGCTGCATATAACTGGTCCAGGTGCTTTATTTTGTGCTGGATTGCATCATTATGAGCCTAATTTTCACAATTAATTAGTACCTTCTGTGACAATCTTGATGTATTTGAAAAAAAAAACATGTTTATGTGTTCTATATTTCTAGTTCTTTTACTTAAAAGGCCAAGATTAAGAATGAAATTCACCACAGAGGATTTTGTCTGGGATGTTCAGCTTTGATCAGATATTCTTAACAATCTTAGGTGAAAACCTAAATTTTCATCAAGAGACTAACAATAAGACTGACCCAATTAATGTGTTTTCAGTATGGGTCCTTGATTAACTTGATTACTTGATTGACATCTAAAACATTTTGGGTCAGCATCTTAAGAATTGGTGCATCATGGAAGTCTTTTTGTATCTGTCAGATGTGTTGATGAACTTGAAAGCCAACTCTCCAGACATGGAAGCCTTAAGAAGTTGTACTTCTATCACCACCATCTTACAGCTGTAAGTAGTCAACCTTTTACCAAGGGTGATCCACCAATTTTGTATATTTAATCTAAAAGAGTTCTGAGACTTGTTGGCATTTTTAGTAGACTTCCTACCTTCATTTTGGCATGAAAAATTAACAGGTGTTTAGGAACACAATGTTTGGGCCTGAAGGACGTCCACAGCATTGTTGTGCATGGCTTGGAGTTGCTAGCAGTTTTCCAGAATGTGCATCCGCGATAGTTCCTGACGAGGTACTATTTGTTTTCCTATTTGTCCCTGTGTATCGAAGTTGGAATGCTAAGACCAGGATGGTTACATGACAAAAATAATTTCCTACCTAGAAGACAAAAGGAAAGTTCTTTTTGATCTAAGACAATATGTGTGGAAGGCTTCTAGAAGGGACTCGAGCTGCTTCTAGGTCTTAAAAAGCAAGCACAAGGGGCTAGAAATTCTGGCACCATCTAGAAGAGTTTGAGACTTTCTGGTTGAAATTTTAAATCTTATAGCTTATTGAAATTTTAAACAAGTTCTTACACTGATGAAACTTTTAGAAGAATTAAGATCGAATATAGGATAAAGAAGAATGACTAATTTAGTTGTGGACTCAGTTCGCATTGATGCACCATGAGTACGTAGGAAATCAATTGCCTCACACTATATTAAAAGAAGAAAATTTCATTTCATTAAACTCTCCATAAATTTTAAACTACTTTGGTTTTGCTATTTTAAACTAATTTTTATTCATCAAGAGGGTAAGTCTTTATGTTCATCAACAAAATGAGGAATATATATTTTTTGTAGGCTTCCATTAGTTCTATAAAAACTAGAACAAGACTTGTAAGAATATAAATTTATAATTATTTTCTAAAGTAGCTACTGAAGAAAAGGAATTAAGTTACTATCATTCATCCAAAAACTACTAAGGAAAAGAAAAATGCAACCTGAATTAGCCATAGCTCATCTTTCTGATATGGACATCTATCTGGATACAATTTTAGTTATATTCAACTTGTTATGATCCTATATCAAATTCTTTTTGCTGTATCAAACTTGATATCCTCGTTTGTCCAAATGAAGCAGATACTTGTCTTGATTCTTTTCTGACAATTCATGACAAAAGCCAATCACCAACAGCGTTGGCACATATTTAAAATAGATCCCTTGGTTTTCCAGATTAGTCAGAAAATCACTTGGAAAATTTCTTTGGTGATGATTCCTGGTGTTGCATTAAGCAATCTGCAGCTAAGGAATCTCTATATGCAGTAGAATTCTGTCAAGGATTGCATTTTTAGTCATCATAGACCTGTGTTTTCTTGCATTTTGATGCATGATTAGGCCAATTTCAGGCTTGTGCCGGTCAGCACAGGGTGCACTGACCCCTGTGGGATAATATTGTTCCAATAAAGGGTAAAATGCAGAAAAATAATATAGGATGATACAAAGGGATAAATATTGGGGTTTGAAAATGTGAAGACGATTAAATTTAGTGGCCGTTGAAGAGATAGGGGGAGACTTAGAAGACTTTACTAGAAACAATAAAAAGAAATTTGAATGCTCTTGATCATGTTTTTAAAATCACGTTTCAGTACTAATATCAATTCTCAATCGAACCTAATACTAGTCCACCAGATGGTCAACTGACCTATATTGCTTGATATCATTAAAAAGTTAATAAAATTAAAATCCTAGAGGCACCAAACTTAGTGTGTGGTTTGTTGTCAGTTCCTGGTCCGTCAGGCACATATAGAGCGACATGTAGTAGTTCAACCAGTTTTATTGGTATGCGATAGTCCAATGTGTATTGGAACTAGTCTCTTAACCAGAGATATTGCATTGCAAAGTGCTCAATTGTCGAATAATATCTATGTAGCTGACATTTACATATTTGGCACATTACAGCTTGTTTTTATATGGATTTTCTATATTATATACATATATTATTTTGTCGTGTTTATATCATGTGGCATCCTACTTTTATAAGATTTACTTTCTAGACATATAACGGTTTGTTCTTGTGTTGTGTTCCTATGTCCATGCTTCATAGCTAGTAGCAAGCACATTGCATTTTCTATTACTTACCATTCATTGGGATGATGCAAAACATTATATGAATAAAATTTTAGTTTCACACTCCTATGTGAACACAAGAGAATATAATTTTTCTTATTCATTGATCTTTTCTGTATACAAATAAAGACATATATTGGCTGATTATAACCTGTACAACTAAGGAAATTGATTCTATACAATATTTCATTCTGATTCATTTCCTATAACATGGGCTGATTTGATACTGATTGAGAATCCCTTAATTATGATACTAATTCATTTTCTTATTTTGATACTAACTGATTTGATGCTAATTTTATACTAATTTATTTCCTTAATTATGGGATTTAGAATCCTTAAATCATGGGATTTTCTACACACACTCTCAAGTTGGCTTGAAGATGTCAATCATTGCCAGCTTGCTAGTTAGATCCTCACAAGAAGATATTTGAAGCTCTTTGGTAGAATATCTGCTAGTTGTTTCTCTGTTGGAATGTACGACATGCAGACAATTCCTTCTTTAATTTTCTCCTTTATGAAATGTCGTTCTACTTCAACATGCTTTGTTCTATCATGGTGCACTGGATTATGAGCAATGTTGATAGCAACCTTATTGTCACCGTATATATAGTCTTATAGGAGTTTCAGTGGGTATTCGTAATTCTTTCAAAAGCATTTTCAGCCATAGGAGTTCACAAATACCTTGTGTTACGTCTCTGAACTCTGCTTCAACACTGCTTCTAAAAAATTAAATATTCTGATAGGAATTCAATTAACCAAATATGAAGCAGTAAGAATGACATCCCCCTAAAGATATTTAGGAACATAATGGAAAATAAAAAAGAGAATGTGCTACTTGAAATAGGTGTCTATTTTTTCGTTCTACAATACCTCTCAAGCATTTTTTATCAGCTGCACATGACCACTCAAAATCATAAAAAATATCAAGCTTTTGCCAGAGTGTCTTCAAGGTAATAAAGTATTTTGTAACACCAGTATTATTTTGTTTAAGCTCTTTGATCTTGTTTGTAATCTCAAATACTTGGGCTGAATTCCCCATCTTTTAATATGTCTTGACCACAACAACATATAACTTCTTTGTTGTTGGAAAAAACATGTATGTTTGACCAATTTATGATTCCATAGGGTTTATCAACCATGATATGATCATGGAATTTTCAGAATCCCATACTTTGAACTTCGGATCATCCTCTGCAGGTGCCGTTGTTGATCCAGTCAAATATTCGATCTTTCCTCTTCCTTGAATATACAACTTTACGGATTGAGACTAACGAAGAAAGTTCTGTCTGTTGAGTTTATGCGTTGTAATTGGTAAGGATGGATTATCACCTAGGCTGTTTGTTGGAAATGGAAGTATTAGTTTCATCTTCTCTCCTCCAGATCTAGTAGCATAGGTTCCTCACAAGCAAACAAGGAAGAAGAAATAGTTGGGGCTGATCCTGAAAGTGGCAGAATAGGGGAAAAGACTTTCAGCAATTAAGACTGAAAGAAAGAAGAAAAACGATTCCTATAGGAACTAGGCTATGATATCAAGAACACAAGAGAATATAATTTTTCTTATTCATTGATCTTTTCTGTATACAAAGAAAGACATATATAGGCTGATTACAACCTGTACAACTAAGGAACTTGATTCTTTACAATATTTCATTCTAATTCATTTCCTATAATATGGGCTGATTTGATACTGATTGAGAATCCCTTAATTATGATACTAATTGATTCGATGCTGATTTGATATTAATTCATTTTCTTAATTATGGTATTATAAAATCCCTCAATTATGAGATTGAGTATCCTTTAATCATGGGATTTTCTTCACCATGGACAAACCAAATCATTTGAAAACTGCCCTTTTTCGTGTTTTACATCTAAATTTTCACCACAAACATAAAATTAAAATGGGAGATACTTTAATTAAACACACAAAGGGAGACCTGAATTTCTATCCAATTAAAATGTAGGTTTGTGGCATGTATTTGTTACTAAATTACTATGATCCAATTGTTGCTATTTGTGATAACAGAAGCAATGCATTTCTTGGCATAGACATAAGCTTTAAGTACAGAAATGAGAAAGAAATGCATATTTCCTTACATAAATGTCAAAGTTGAATGAGATCTTATATGTGAATTTTAAGTTAACATGTTAAAATAAAAGAAAGCAGAACCGCACAAAAAGAAAAAGAAAGGAAAGGAATATTATATAATTACCGGAATTTGCATCAAAGAAATGATTTCCTAAATTCCATGAAGGCATCGGTTTTATCTATTATAATACTCACTAAAATAGTATCAATACTTTTTTTTTGTGTACAGATCTTTTAAGACTGGTTGATGGACTTTGAATGAACCCTTTAGATTTCCAGTCATATTTCCAGAAGTTACATTTGTTCAACTCTGCAAAGGTATAGGGACTACAAAAGTATATCGATTTTTTTATATCTGCTTTTGTGCAGTGTAAAGAGAGTGAACCTAGGCATCATGATTAGGTTGTTCCTTTGACCAGAACTCAAGTCATAGGAACAACTTTCTTGAAGAGTCAGGCTGCATATTACCCTCTTAAGCCTTGCATTGGCAGAAGCCTCATGCAATGAGCCACAATTAGGCACCATTTTCTCAACTTTATTCAACTCAACCATCATTGATTTATTTTAATAATATTGTTGTTCTCATCTTCACATGAAGGTTCTTAATTAGTTGTTTCGTCTATCTGTAATTTTAGTTGAATAAAGTGGGGAGAGATTCCATATTATATGTTGAGTCCCTTATTGAATCCATCATGGGTGGACTGGAAGGTCTCATCAATATTCTGGATTCAGAAGGTGGATTTGGCTCATTAGAAATGCAGGTAATTCAATTATCTTTGGATGATAACTTTTGAGTTATCACATTTTTCTGTCTTAAGACTCATATAGTTTATATTTCAGCTTGTTCCTGAGCAAGCAGCATTTTGTTTGAACAATGTACTAAAAGGTTCAACCGCCTCCTTTAAATCACCTAAAGGATGGTCTATGCAAAAACCAGGATCTGAGAGTTATCCAGAAAACACCAGTTCTGTGAAAATGTAAGTGACATACCCTTTTGGAGCAATTGGACATGTTTAAATTGAGAATTTCTAAAATCATAATAATTGTCTTAAACAGGTTGGAAGCTGCCATGCAGAGGTTAACAAATCTTTGTTCTGTCTTAAATGACATGGAACCTGTATGTGTACTCAATCATGTTTTTGTTCTGCGTGAGGTATATAACCTGACCTATTGGCTCAGTGCACATATATAGTTCTGGCAGCATATGCTTTATCATACTGTGTCCATGCTAGCATGTGTCAAAGGCTTATCCAGGGCTAAATTGATCCATGCTGGTATGTTTCATTGGCTTGCATGTATAGTAAATAATTTATTTCTATTGCTGACTGCTGTCATAGATAGTTTCTTCTTTTTCTTTAACTGGATATAAAGATCTAATATCGCGTCAAAGTTATAAGAGGAGGGGGAAATATTAGACCCCAAATTTAGTGACAAAAATAGAAACCCAAAATTGAAATAAGCGACTACCATGGAGAAGAAAGGGAGAAGACATGGGAGGAAACTTATCTTTATATTTAGACAAACTTTTTGAAAGAACACTCTACATAGGTGTGCTTCATTGGAAAATTTCCATTTTTAAAGCTTAATAGTGAAACTAGATATTCTGTATTGTAACTCAGACTACATGAAATGTCTTGTACATATATGCAAATACCTTTTCTTTTTTAGCATAAAATTTGAACTATTCAATAGTTGAGTCTTTTAGTTGGTCCATTTGTTCACTCTTTATTTTTGTAAGTGCTCTTTTTTCATTTATTTTATAGTAGAAATATTAGACTGCAGCAATTCTTCCTTTCTAAGTTTGTCTTGAAAATTATATGTTTATTGGTTTCTTGTAGACCTTTCTTAATGCTTGATTCTCTTGATTTTTCTAAGAAAAGGAATAGTTAAGACTAACAGTTACTTTCGTGACTACAATAGTGGTTTTGTCCTGAAAATTAACAGCTCCGCGAATTCCTTAATGTCTGGTTTACCATGATTTGTCTTAATTCATCATCTCATATTCTTGTGTCAATATCTTTTTTCTTTCATACTTCAACAAGCACTAATACTATTATGGAGAAAGTCAATGCAAGTTTATTGATTCTTCAATTTTGTGTGCTATCTTTGTTGAAGTACATGAGAGAGTGTATCCTTGGAAACTTCAGGAGAAGGCTACTTGCAGTTATGATAACTGATAATTTCCTACAGCGTCCATCAATTATTGAGTCTCTCTTACAAAGACACATTGGCATCATCCACATGGCAGAGCAGCATATTAGCATGGACATTACTGAAGGCATTCGTGAGGTGCTGTTGACAGAGAGCTTCACTGGACCTGTTTCTTATTTACAGAAATTTGAAAAACCTACAGAGATGCAGACTGGATCTGCCATAGAATTGGTTGGCAACTGGTATCTTGAGAACATTGTTAAGGATATCTCTGGTGCTGGAGTTTTGTTTATTCCAATCCGTCACTGCTTCAAGAGCTCACAAGTAATAGGTGCATGCACAGCAGAGTCATATACTGATGTACGTGAACTTAAAGCCCTCATTCGTATTTTTGGTGGTTATGGATTTGACAGAATTGACAGGTTGTTAAAAGAACACACAGCTGCATTATTGAACTGCATCGACACCGCTTTGCGATCAAACCGTGAAGCCCTAGAGGGTCTTGCTGGAAGTGTAAATTATGGTGACCGGATTGAAAGAGAAGCAAACATAAAGCAATTACTTGATTTAGACACACTAGTTGGATTCTGTATTCAGGCTGGGCAGGCAGTAGCGTTCCATAAGTTGCTTGTTGAGGCTGCTGGAGCAGTTCTAGAAGAAAATGCACCTCTTATTTTTTCTCTGTTACGTGGGGTAGCTAAGCAGTTACCTGTTGATATACCTGAGAAGGATGATATTACGAGGTTGAGAAGGTTGGCAAATATGGTAGGTGCAGATGAGGATCATGATACTGAGTGGATCCATGCAATCATGGCCGAAGTGGGTGTTGCCAATGATAGTTCTTGGAGCTTTCTTCCCTATCTTTGTTCTGCATTTATGGCATCTAACATCTGGAGCATGACAACATATAATGTTAATACTGGGGGATTCAACAACAATGTTCACAGTCTAGCAAGGTGATGTTAGAATGCATAGATGCTATAAGCCTTACACATGCTCTTTACTTGACATATCACATATGGTTTATATATTTTTGTATAACATGAGTAGTGCCTTATCATAAATGTTTATACACATTGTAAAAACACTTCTTAAAATCATTAGCAAGCACCTCTTTTCATCAAATTTTAATAGAACAACCTCGAGAACTACCTCCGAGTATTTTAGTATCTACAGTTGCTTGTTACCAGAAAATTTCGATAGTGAAGCTTCTTCGAGTATCCTAACCAATGTTCGTTAGGAGCTGTGTGGCTTAATATGTATAACTGTGGGGGTCATATATTGGGTTTATTTTTTTATGCAGTTCCTTATCCATAATTAAATATGGGTGATCTGCAGGTGCATCAATGCTGTGATTGCAGGAAGTGAGTATGTTAGGATGGAAAGAGTACAACAGCCAAGGTCTCTTTCCAATGGGCATGCTGGAGAAATATCAGAGCCAGAAACACTAAACCGCATGTCGGTTGAGGCAAATATAAAGTCTGCATTGCAAATCTTTGTTAAGTGTTCTGCAGGGATTGTACTGGATTCATGGAGTGAAAATAGCAGGTATCATGTCTGTTATTGCTTTTAGAAACTCTTGGTAGTGTTTTTAATCTCTCCAGCTATTTCCATCTGGTAAATTTTTAGTAGGATATGATGCCTCTCTCCTTTGCCCTTGTTCAGCTTCACAAAAAAGTTACACTGGTTCGAAATTCTGTCTTTTTTTAACTCATTATTGGACATTTTAGGTTCTTTCATGATTGAAAATTTTGTCATCCAAACATTTTATCCTTGTAGGAACTTGTTTGTTGTTTCTGCTACCCGTTTTGAACATTGCTTACCTTCAATGACTCTGTTTCACAATCTTTCACATATCCTTATTCCTAGAGAATTTCAACTAAAAGTCATGCTATTTGTGTGTCATTTTCATGTGCCTTCAACGACATTTCTGAAAAAACTTGCCTGGCTACTCGTCACGATCTTGTTGCAATAAATAAACTTTTTGAGCCTGCTTCTGGTTGGTATTCTGTCAATTCTAATGATCCTAACCAAACCTTTCTTTGTTTGAGCTCTAGAAACTGCCTACCATATGAGGGCGCTCCATGAACCAATTTCATTAGATGCATATATCAGAAGTATAGGCAATTTTCTTTCTTAAATAAGTCGAGGAGAACAAAGGTTATGTTCTACTCTGAATTGCTGGTCCAACATCCTTACTATATAGTTAATAGTCTTTGAAGAGGAGTCTGATAGATAAATATCTGCTTCACCTTTGAGATTTAATTTGTTGAGCTCTAGGTTCAAGCTTCATAATAGGTTATGCCTTGTAGCATTGAGCTGGCCTGTATACACTGTATGCACAAGTTTCAGGACTCATATGTAGGACATTCCAATGTATTTGATGCATGGTTCCTTTGTTTTCTTTATACTGAACCTGCTAAATGTGTGCCCAACTTTATTTTGCATGGATTTGGGAACAAGTTTCTAATTCAAATACATTTAGGTTCCTTTGTGTGAATTTGAATTATTAGTGATGCTTTCTGAGTACATAACCACAAACAAGGGTGTTGATGGCCCAACACCACCTGTTTTAAGATAATATAACTCAGCACATTGACAAATTGGTTGAACTTGCCGATTCACATCATCACTTCATGAAATGGAGAGAGGATAACAGATCAATTCTTGGTACAAATCTCACTGGTGATGTGCATGTTGCAATTGCTACAGGCTCTTCCAGTCAATTCCTATCTCTATGTCTGAAATGGTACTTTTGCTACTATGGTCTACTATGCGAGGATTATGAAAATCATATCCTATGAACTAATAATGGCATGCCAGTGATTAATCATGGGACTTTGTTTATTTGAGATGTACTACTTTCATCCTTAAGTGATAAGCTCCCTTTTTCATATGCTTTGTAGGACATATATTGTACCAAAACTGATATTCTTGGACCAGCTTTGCGAGCTCTCAAGATACCTTCCTAGAAGCACCCTTGAAATTCACATACCTTACACAATTCTGCGCTCAATATATAGGCAGCACTATGGAAATTCAGCAACTATGATTACAGAATTGCTCGCACCATCGCCGAGACAGTCACCCCTTATTTCTCTAACACATGCATCTCCTGCTGTGAGGCCACACCGAGGTGATTCCACTCCCATGTCATATGATCCAGGTTACTTGAGTTCCTCTATCCATAGGCATGACGATGCTCACGAAGGTGATAGCTTGCGGCTAAAAACTAGCGATAAACAGCAGCGTAACACAAGAAACTCAGGACCACTGGAGTATAGTTCAAGCCGAAAAGTGAAATTTGCCGAGGGTTCCAGTTCTGGTGGTCAGGGCCCGAGCCCATTGCTGAGATTTGCAGTGTCAAGATCTGGTCCGCTTTCATACAAGTAGAAGGAAAGAGAGACATCTGTTATGTATTGTTGTTAAGAACATCTGACAGTTTGATGTATTGTTAGGATATACAGAAATATACCATTTGGTTATTCGTCTATTGTTGAAATCCACATAACCAGATGATGAAAAATAGGACAAATCGACAATAGCTTGCGTAGTGATTGGGAAAATTTGAAAAATGTACTTCTGATTATATTAGTTGCTGATCATGTAAATTTAAGTTGATTCCATGTGCGTAAAATTTCCTGCATTGGACTCCAAGGTAAAACACTCTTTTTAGCCAATGTGTTGTAACCACAAAATGTATTATTTCTGCAATCTTACTACTAGTGATTGAAGCATTGGAATCTATTTTCCTTGTTCAATGTTTTGACATTGCGGTTTTGTCAGCCAATTTTAATGCTTTAATATTCCAATACAATTATGTTTTATTTTGATTTTATTTGGTTGTCAATTCATGAACGGTTATATATATATATGTATATATATATAAACAAATATAGGTTGATGGCAGTTTGTCCGAAGAGATGTAATAAGGTGATGAAACATCTCAAAGGAGTTCATTTCATTTGATACCTTTGTATGTGATAATATGACACAAATAAAAAGGTGTGGCTTTATGATTCATTCACAAAATGGTGCAAGTTATCGTGAAGGTATATAAAATGGTTGATGTTTTCCAAATTCATCAATATATTTCAACATCATAAACTTCAGTTTGAATGTAACAACAAATTTAGAGAAAAAGGTGAAAGGTATATATAAGGGTAAAATGAGGAAACAATATTTTAAAAAGAATAACTTTTTAAAATATTTATTTATAATGCCTGAACAATAAGAAATAGTATGATACTACATACACAATGGAATGGATAACCATCCACTAAACTGAAAGGTAAAATTATCCTCAATAAGTTGCAAATTGGCCCTCCATGAGAACCATCACATGATGTAGATGAATGATGGTAAGATCCTTCCAAGCAGCAGGCAACAGACAGGCATTCCTCAGAACAATCAAAAGGAACACAGGCACTGCTTAGAGGCCACCAAAGTACCATGATGGTTCTGTTCAGCAAACAATGTACTGAGGCTCAAACCATGTTTCAAAGATTTTTTTTTTTTCTTTCTTTCATCTTTTCCAAGCATTTAAAATAGTGGATAGTCTTCTAATCTGTTTGAGATTTCAGCAGGAATAGCTTGTCACACAGATTCATGAAACAATATTATCATCTCATACACTACCAAAATTTCAAATCAAACAAATGAACCTCCATCAAGTATTTTGGCTATAACTACTGCATAAATTCACAAAGCATTGCCTAATACAAAAAAAAAAAATACAAATTTTCATAGTGATGGACATCTCGACTGCGAGATGACAAGTATCTTTCTGCTAGAAGCCCAAGCTACCAAGGAAAAGCCGTTTTCTACAAAGTAGCCATGAATCGATCTTTATACAAATTCATCTCGTGTGGAAGTTCCTGTACTCGATTTTACGAAACTTAAGGAGCCACACAAAAGTTCCTGTTTTTTCATCTGATCAAACTTTCGAGAAGGTCCCTCTTTATTAATCAGCTACCTGACAGTCACGGTGACCATCATGATGCTGAATGGTTTGCACAACCCTTACTTGATCAGTTACACATGAACATATTGCAGCTTGTTTTACCGACAGTTATCGGGGTTCCTCCACCCTCCAGAATGGTGATACTTCATAATCCTGAGTCAATTATGGTACATCATCCACAAGTTTAAAATTAAGAATCCAGCCTCATAATGTCATTCAGTTTTAGAGAAAAAAATCAAAACAAATATCCATAAGGATTCTGACTCCAAAATTCTTCAAGAATAAAGTGTATACTAGCATCCCTTCCAAGAAAAACCCAAAACAGCAGAAGGACCGAATCGCAAAAAGTCAATAAGTTATAGCTTTGTGTCCTCCCAAAATTCTTATCAACCCAACTATATACTAGTTAATTACCTAAGTAATTCAATATGCCATGACCCAAAATAATGAACCAACAAACCCTAACCCACATAGCACGAACCATGCTAAGTTATGCATGACAACTGCAAGATAGCACTCATATTGCGACTCAGAATGTTCCACGTTGTGAGTAACTAAAAAGTTATAGCACACTTCTCACTTTGAACCAAAAGAAAAGAAAAGGAAAAAGAAACTCAAAATTTTGAAAGGATGTAACTCAACTGCAGTCCTTCGTTAATCATGTCTCAAACAAAAGCTGCTATTAGAAAATAATACTGCTAGGGTTACTCGTCAGTATATACCCAAGTCAAAATCTGTTTGTGTTGGTCCACCTCATCAACATGCAAAACAAATTAAAAAATACCATAAACTCAAAGGATTGGAAGAGAAGTTATGATTTAGTATCAAACGTATGCTTGCATCCTCCTCTAAGTTCCTACAAGGAAAAGTTGAATAGTCATCTAAATCTTCTTTATATTTAAAAAAGACTAGTTGTCCAATGACTACTGTATTCCACCTCCATGTAATTCTCAAGGGAGACCTGCCTCCAAAAACTTCCCATAGAATTGCATGATAATGCTGCAACCTGTCAGACTTCCGTATTACTATTGCCCTTAGTGGCTGCTCAAGATATACACAACATGATTTCCAACTACTAGATGCTTCAAATAGTAATAAATTATAACTTGATTAACTTTTTTGTGTCCTCTAAACACATCCACAGCAATTGACAGTCGAATAATGAAGGAAAAATATGTGATACTATAATCTGGTAATCATTGCATGTCCTGTTAAAAATTGGACATCCATGACCAGAAGGGACTGGATAAACATAAATCATATTCCGGATTGTTCTAAGCCTACGATGAAGGTTCATCTCCACGAAAGCAATAGCGTTACCTCCATGAATAAGTATTATCGTCTTAGTTCGAATATATGATTAAGCACATGCATATACCTTGTTCAAAATGTATTTAGATCACAAGCATCTTCCCTTAGATCTATGCATAGACTCAAATAGGAAGCTCAAGCATCTTCCTGGAATCCAAAAACAGTCTCGAGTAAAGCAAAAGCAGCATAATGTTGAAGGCTTATAGAAGGAAAAGCAAAGAAACTCATTTATCTTTGCATTTAGTTCAAGCACATGTCATTCTCTAAACCATATCTTTAAGTTGACTGTTTCACACAAGTTAATAACAAAATTTATTAATCACACAAATTGTCCGCCAATAGATCACAATTCAAGATTATCTACCAAGCTTCTTAAAATAATTGACCACATAAAATATTCAAGTGATCTGCTCTTTATCTAGGGCTTCGTGTACATCAATCTTCTTGCAGCTCCATGGATTGAACTAGGATAAGCAGCGACTTTGTGACTATTACACAAGTAGTGAAAAAATTAAGCTTGTTTAGTTAGCTAAGATCTTTCACCGGTAGATGTCAGCCAGTGCTATTACATATGACATCTGCTTACATGATGGCTACAGGTTGTCCAGAAAAAATTATAAATTTTGCATGAGGAAACCAAGTCCTATTCAACAGAAAATGAATAAATAACTATTTAATTTTAGTTGACAAGCACTTGAAATTTTTTTCTTTTTTTAATTTCCAATTAAGCAATTTTATGAAAATACAACACAAAAAAAAGTTAAATAAACAAAAAAGACTAGTTTTTCTTAAGTAGAAACCACTCCATTATTAAAATAACCTGAAAGTATGTACACGATAAGCCAGAGTTCTCATACCCTTTTACAATTATAGTAAATTTATAGGACAAGGGATGAGGCTTTCAAATCATAACTGCATCCATAAAGCATGAAAAATCACCTAAAGAAATGCACGGTAAGGGAGAAGTCTAAGGAAAAACAAAGAAGAACATACTGATCTTTTGGATTATGAACCATTTCGTGTGTGCCAAAGCTTCAAAAGTACTCTGATATTGCAGACAAGAAAAGCTCAAGCAGGTTCCCAAAATTCAAGAAATTATAGCTTTGCATGAAAGAATCGCATGTATGGTGAGAACACTCAATGATGATGATGAACCTGAAGAGAAGAGGATATACGGAGGGAGAATCAAGAGTCGGCGTTGGGGAGAGCGGCCATGAAGGCGTTGTAAGAGGACTCGAGGTCGAAGTGGAACTGGCGGGCCTGCTGCTCGGTGAGCTCGTCGGCGGCGCCCATCTTAGCGAGGCGAGAGAGCCAATCACGAACCTTGACGCGGCCCTCAAAGTCCGGGGGAAGGAGACCGGTCCCAAGCTTGACTAGGGACGTGGATAGGTCGGAGAGGAGGGGGTGCACCTGGTCGACGGCCACCATGTTGAGCTTGACGGAGTCCATGGCGGTAATGAAGTTCTGCACGCATTCGGCAACGGCGGCGGCAGAGGCGGACGAGGAAGAGGAAGTAGCGGCGCGGTGCTCGACGGTTGCGGGGACGCCGGAAACAAGGAGGCGGTTGAGGGCAGCAGGGGCGTCGAGGCGGTAGACCTCGGCGAAGCGATCGAGGGAGGGGACGGCGCCGTGGAGGGCGGAATGGAGGGTCCGAAACTGGGCGATTAGTTTGAGGCACTCCGCCTCGTACTCAGCGGAGGAGACGAGGTCGCGGACGTACGCCTTCTCCAGCTTGTCCGTGGTCTTGACGATGGCGTAGAGGTCGGCGAAGTTGTCGTACATCTCCCTCTCCCGCTTGTCCCGCCACAGCCTCACCTCCTCCATCTCCGATCTCTCTCTAATCTATTCCTCCTCCTCCTTCACGATCGTTGCAATTGAATCGATGAAAGGGGAAGACGCGATAGACTAGATTGGGGATGGAGAGAACGAGAAGAGACGTCAAGGAAACGGGAAGGGATCCGCTCCAATTGCGATTTTAATCGAAATTATCTAGCCTTATCTAGACCGTCGATTAACGTGAGCTTGCGATCGGAAGGTCTCGAAGCCCTTCGGACTAGCACGTGGGAAAACGAAGCCCGACGTTTATGACGATGCAGAGAATGGCCGAATCGGCTCGAAAAAATTAGCCAGGGTGACGTGGTCCCATGGGCCCAACACGTGTGGGTCCGGGCAAGGATTAAGAAGATTTTTTTTTTAGACTCGTATTAACTTTCCTTGCTTTTTTTAATTCAAAAAAAGAAAAAAAAAATAAAAAGACTGGCGAAGGATCGATGATCAAAGGTAGTGACAAAATTGGAAGATCACTCGAAATAAAAATTATTTTTGATAATTTAAAAGGGTGATTTTCTAGGAAAGCCCCTGATTTTTTTTTAAATACCTAAAATATAATCTCTTTAAAAAATATTTTTTATTCAAAATCTAACAAAATTATAATATTTTAATTATTAAATTAAGATACTTATATTTTATGATGAGAATATTGAGAAAGTTAGGAAAATGTTAATGGTAAAATAAGAGATAGAGAATGAAGATTAAAAAAAATAAAAATTTAAATACTCTTCTACTACAATATTTATTGTTATTCATAGCCATAACTAATAGTTAATAGGAGTGTTAATTCATTTTTAAAGGAATATATGTGTTATATCAAAATAAAAGTTTTTACTCAATTCATGATTTTATTCTTGATTTATGAAAAAAAAATGATGCTTTGAAAATAAAACTTAAAGATTATTGAATGTATCAACTAATTTAATCGATAAAGATCTTGATAGTTTATCATAACGTTCTTAGTAGTACTTACCTTTTAATGTTAGAAGATCTAAGGATGTGACGAACTATGACAATCACATCATGTTAGGAAGGAAGCTTGTCATCATGTGATGGTTTATCTAGTGATGCACCTTGTTCGATCTATTCCCCTCGAAGCCAACTTAGGAAGAATTAGAATTAAAAGTTGATGAGATGCTGGAAAGATTCCCAAAAGGGTTAGGCAAGAGTGTATTCAAAGAGAATATGAGTGGAAGAATCTAGATGCAAATAACAAATATAATTTTATTAATAGTATAGAATATTAAAAATATAATTTATGGTAGGAAATCGAATCGAGGAAAACTTTCAAAAAAATAATTTTATCTTGGGAGCAACCTTTAAGTATCTATATCACTTTTTTATCTTTCTTTTTTAGGAACATTGTTACTGTAGAATCTATTCAAGTGTTTATAAGCATCGATAATAATTATTCTATCCGAAAGGGTATAATTCCAAACTCATAAATCATCATGAGAGTGAAAAGAAGGATGTATCGCTTAAATATGTTTCATGAGGGGTGAAATAAAGATTCAAGCACTAAAATTTCATTAGTCATTTGAGATAATATCAGACACAAAAGAATATCTCCTTATTTCATTCACCCCTATAAATTTGGACTATTATTTATAAGGGTCATTTTTTGGATCTTCCTAAACCTTAGTGGATTGACCATTACTACGAGTTTTCTAAAATCATTATTAATATTAATAATCATATTTAAGATAGATTTGAACATAGGAGAGATATTTTTTATCATTACAAAATTTCTAATTCTCAAATCCCTTAACTCATTTGAAAAAGTCATGTTAAATCAACTAATCAAGTATATTTTGTTATGTCTATGCCTATCATTCTAAAAAAAATCTTGAGAAAATTTTAAAATTTTAGTATTCAACTTGTTTGAAATCCAAAAACTAAGTAATATATAAGTTAAAAGAGAACTAATTATAGAGTTTACGAGGACAAGTTTTCAATCTTGAGAAAGAAGACTCTTATGCCAGCTTGAATCTTTCTAAGCGTCTTGTAGAGTTTCAGAATCTATTATGGAGTCTATCATTGGACAAGAATGTCCCAAGGTATTTGTAAAATTAGCTACCTTCTTTGATGCCCATATGTGATCATGAGCTTATAAGGAGAGAAGTAAGCATTTGTTTTAACAATATTAACATTAAGAAAGGTGAGTCTTTCATAAGTTTTCAAGATCTTGAGAACTTAGTAGTATGATTTAGAGTTGGTTTTAAAGGAAGGAATCATATCATTAGTAAACATAAGATAAGAAACTTTGGTTCCTAAGATATTAAATAGAGAGTTAAATAGAGAGATTTGCTTATTATGGATAACTTTAGAGATTAAAGAAAAGAGAGCAATTGAATAATGATAAAGAGATAAGGAGAGAGGGGTCCCCTTATCTAATTCCAAGTTGATTCTTACACTTTTAGAATCTCTTGTCATAGATTAAAAAGATAAAAGTAGGGAAGAATATATAAATAATATTTTAATCAATGAATTTAGAAGGAAAGTTCTTTAAAGGAAGAGTATTCCTAACGATCTCCCAAAAAATAGAATCAAATACCTTCTAGGTTTAATTTTAGAAGAATATGTGAGATTTTACACTTGGACAATAATTTAGAGTGGACTAACTTAGTAGCATTAAAGATATTACCCTATATGCTACGTCGTTTTATAAAGATCAATTTTTTTAACCTATAAGTTGGTGAAGATAACTATCAATATAAATAAAAAAAAATTAGTAAGAATTTTATAAATGATATTATAAAGCATTATAGTCTAAAGTCCTAGATATAGGATGCATTTGAAGATTTATGAATGAAGACTATAAGAGTATTACCTCAACTATTTGGAATAGAGAAATGAAAGTGAAATTGGGTGAAGGATGATAGTAGATCCATCTTTAAGTCTTCCTTTATAAAATTTTATATTCTGACCATCCGGGCTTTGATTAGAAATTATTTACAAAAAAAGCTAACCTAATTTTTGATAGGAAAAAAGGTTGGGTAAGGGTGCAATGAACTATGTTGGAAAGAGTAGGGAGGGTTGGGCAATGATTTTAGTCATGGAAGTCTAAAAGTTTGAATACTAGTTAGAGAATAATAGGAGGAGGAAAGTAGTATCCTGACTATTTAGGGAATTTGAATACTATGATAGTGAGTTTATTTTTTTAGTTTTCTGATGGTGCATAGTCATTGAAATTATTTAGTATTTTTGTCTCTCTCTAATATATTAGGCTTTGGATCTAGACTATCATTTTAGATAGAATTGTCTATTGAGGACAATCAACTTGTTAGAAAGATACTAGATGTTGATGAAATCTAAGCTGGAGAGGATGCCAAAAGTGTCCTTTTCTAAAGTAATGAGGTCAAGTATGATGGTTTTAATTTCGTTCTCCAAACTGACCATTAGATTTGATCCAAAGAAAGATTTTAGAAAATATGTCAAGGAGGTTCTTATAAAGGAGGTTATTATTGAGACTCTCACATTGAATCTTAGCCTAAGACAAAGGAGTTGAAATCTTTATTAAAAAGCTAGTAAAATTCAAATTTAATATTATCATAGTTCCTAGATGACTTAAAAATATAAGATAATTGTGCTAATAAGGGGAAGTGATTAAAGCCTGCTCTAGGAAGATGAAAAATCAAAATATTATCATAAGTCAAAACTTAATTAAAATTAACCAGTACTCGATCAAGCCTAGCATAAACGCGGTAAGGGCTAAAATGATTGTTTCATTAGGTAAACTTTGGATTAGTAAGACTAGCATCCAAAAGATTATAATTGAAAATAAAACATTGACACTATAAAATCGATTGAGAAAATATAAAAAGGATGACTTCCAAATTTTTCTTGAGTAGATAAAATGGTATTCATGTCACTATACAAAAGTCACATAATTGATAACATTTCTAAAGCTAAAATAAATTTGAGAGAAAGTTACAAACCGAAGACTTTATGCTTGCATAGATTGCTAAGAGAAGTCATATCTTTCTTTTTTATTGTTAAGTTAATTGTTTGCTTGTTTTTATGAATGAGGATAGCTTGAATGTTATAAGTCTTCCATACCACTAGGATGCCCCCTCTATCAATTTTTACAAAAGTACTAGACCAAGCTCTCCTCGTACTCATGCAAGCAAAAAGAGAAATGTTACTCATAAATATGAGTTTTCAAAAGAATAAATAGATTTATATTACATGTTTTAATTGGACTAACAAAAATATTTCTTTGACTTCTCTTTTGATTGCACCTCTATAGTTCTAGGATAAAATTTAAAGACATATCTTAATAATAGTTCAACGGTTATTATTACTCCCTAGGTTCGAGTAAAAGGTTGATCACATAATATATTTTTTCTTATGTTTATGTTTTATAGTAAAGAGATGAGGTAAAAGATTCTCTCGAGAAAGTCTCTTTCATGCTTTGAGTATGTCATTGCAGAGCAGGAGATTCCATTTACGATCAAAATTTTCATGAAGTATTTCTCTCTCTTCTTTAGTGTTGTTTTCTATTACTATATGTTGTAAAGCCGTAAACATATTCTCTACGAGGGCTTCAAATGAAGAGGATACCTTACTCTAAGTGGGAGCTTTGGAGGAGGAGACAAAACTCCTTATCCATTGGTTTGAGTGAAGACTTGCCTGTCTCTAAGGATTTTGAACTTAAGGAGGATAATAGATTGGATCGAGAATACTAAGAAGAGGAGAGAAGGTTTCTCAAATTGTACAAGAAAATACCTTTGCTTAGGCTTGAGTCCTCATTGTGAAAAGTGAGTCCAATGGTATTAGGGATGGGTGGTAATAAACCATTGTCAACCAAACCCCCTTTTGCTGCCAAGCCATTCTAAGGACGGGGGAGAGAATGGTTGGAGTAAAGGTAAAAAGAGTGGGCCAAGTAGAGACAATTTCTTTTCTCATTATCGTGCAAAACCTCTAAAGTCTTCAACCTATTGTCTTGAGATGTGTTAGCAATAATAGAACTAGAGGATGGCAGGTTAATGTTAGTCTTGTACTGCTCCACTTCCAAATTAGAACCTAGGACAAAAAGAGTGATAAATATGGAAAGGGATAGTGGATCCAAA